AAAAACGGAAAGAACTTTTGCACCGACCTAATATATAAAGATTAGTGCTAATTCTAACTCAGATCAGCAACAAAAATATAAAACATCTGATGATTGTAACGAAAGCTAAACATATTACAGAGTTGAAGGCAATTCTAGTTGATTGTGACCATTATTGGTCAAGATATGCTACAGATCACTCAAGAATCTAGAGACAGATGTGCGAAAATGGCGAAATAATCTTTGGGCAAGTAATAAGTACAGAACTTATAACTTTTTGAACAACATAACATAATTATAACCTAAATTCTGTGCACCAGCTTATGACTTCAAAGATTGTCTCCATCGTTGTAAAACGAGTTGGTCCAGGGTCCCGTAAGTGAATTTTATAGCGAAGAAGCATATTACGAAGTACAAAGCGACGAGCTGTAACAAACTTTGTCAATGAGTGCTACAAAAAAAAATTGTCACGAACCTGCAATGGCCTAAGGAACATCAAATGGTACGCAACAATTGTGACGACAAACATCCAAAAACAAAAACAAAATCTCTTTCCTATGCCTAGCAGCGTTGACTCATTGGTCTGAAAAGAAATTTTTCCGATAGTTTCAACATTTTGGTTGCTTAGCAGCCTACATTCTTCCATATTCGCTGCCCATTTTCCATGGCAAATCGTCGATTGTATGGTTTCGGCTCCGAGTAGTATTCTTCCAAACGAGCTTCTTTTTCCAACCAAAGACTAGAAAATACCCGTCCATTTTGAAAATCGAATTTTTCAGAATTTTGAGATTGTAAATCCTTACTCGTTAAGCCAACGTCCGCAGTCCGCCTCGCTATGTGGAACATCGTTTACAGCAATCTTCTTGACATGGAAATGGACTTCTTTTGGGCAGTCGCCTTTGAGAATCAAATCAACCTAAAAAGAGTACAATAGTTCATTACAGTTATAGACACACTTGCCTAGTTCTCGAATCTGATGTTAATCAAAATGACTGACGGATATGAAAAGCAAACGTGGTCTTGAACTTGTAGCTTGAGTAAAACAACATTTGAGATTTTTTACAAAAAAAGAGAGGAAAAAGAAGAGTTTTAGATGCTGTAAATTTTTCCTTAGCGGAGCGACAAAATCATGAAACTTATTGCCTGAAGAAAATTTAATTTAATTCGAAATTATCACAGTTAGTGGAAATCATGTCGCAGTTTCAACAATTTTTAATTACAAAATTAGTGTATCAGCGCTCCACATTCCTTTGCAGATATTATATTACGTATAACACCAAGTTTACCTCAGATTGCACGATATTGTAGGGATAAGCGATGGAGACATCGTAGACGTAAGTCACAAACTTCTCTGAAAATGTTTCATGTAATATCGCAAGAGACAAATTTATTTTCCAAGTTCCGTTTTTTGAATACAGTTATATTTGAATCAAAGAAATGAAAGTGCGGTGTAAATTTTGATTGTGTGTTTTTTCATACCCATATAGATCTGCAATATTCCACCCTCTCATGTGATCAAAACGAACCTTCTCTCATTTTCGTCAAAAGATGATGGAAGCCGGCTACACGAGGATACAAAAGATGCTTCAGTTGTTTGAGTCCGTTCTTTTTCGCATACTCTTGACTCTTCGTTGTTGTCCATGGTGATTTGTCAGTTCCCTCGGGGAAAAGAAGAATCTGAAAAAATCTCAAATTTTATTGTTATATACTTGAAGTTTTTGAATTAGCACCTGATAGTTGTTGCCCATCCCTTTATAGTATTCTATAGCTGTATCAAATGTCACCGAATCCTTCTCCATGTTTCGCTGCAGGAAAAGATAATGTGCCGCTGACATGCCAAAGCCTAGAAAAATACTCTCAAATCAGCTCAGAAAAGATTAAAATGTAAAATGACAAGGCCTAACCAGCTCCAGGAAGACTTTGCAGCTGTGCTTTCAACGAGATTTTATTCGAAGTTATGAGCCAAGGGTTCATTTGGTATAAAGCTGACCACATATACATCCAGTCCAACCTAAAAGAGAGGTGTGATGTCATTTTTATGAAGGACAAATATTGATTCTATTTTTTCTTCGCCTTTTGATTGTGTCAGATGGGGCAAACTTGTAAAAAAGTTTTTGCTTTTTACTCCTAAAGGCCTGAACTCACAAACAACCAAAATTATGCTAACCAACATTATTAGGTGATTGCTTTGCTACTTTACTTTACATAAAGGCCTTGTCCAGGTCCACTGGGGGGTAAGGGATCTTGACGCAGTCTTAGTGTCCAGCTCCTAACAAAC